GTTTATTGGATTATGTTGTACCTCATTATGTCAGGCTGTCTAATATTTTTAAGGAGTTCATCTTTGAAAGTTTTATCAGATGTAGTATGATTTGCATTAAAGAAGCATTGATATTTTAGACATTTTTTTTCGTCATTTACAAACCTTACTTGAATCGTCTGGGAATGAGCTCCCAAAAAATTAATACATATGCGCCTTAAACTCGTTGAGTGTAGTCAAAAGTTCCTTTCTTTTGTATTCAATTGCCTGTTTCATTTAATTTTATTTAGACTGCTTCTGACTGAATAAAATGGATGGAAATGCGAAAATATGACGACAATGCTCGATGACAGGCAAAAAATTTCTCATTCCAATACCTTTATATCTCCTTTTCAATTTTTTTTTCGCCCGCTCGCTCACATTTCATTCTTGTGACAGCCATAAAACTAATAAGCTAATGAGCGAGGGTAACCATAATAAGTGAGCAGTCATTAAAGCTTGCTCACTTGCTTGTCATTTTATTTTATTTTCATGTATGCATGCATGTGCAGCATCATTGCCTTTTTATTCAACTGACATTTTTTATTACTTTTTTTTGATGCCTTTAAATGGAATGTGAAAATGTGGAAAAAGAGGAAAGAAAAATATTGGAAGAGATGAAATTCTCAGGTGCAATATTTTTTGTGTTTTACTTCTGCTTAACATTATTCAAGTCAACTAAACTCACTTTGTGGATGTTTAAGAATTTAAATTGAATGGAATGTCTGCTTGAAAGTACGAATAAACAATATATTAAGTTGAAAAGAACTGGACATTTAAAACAGTAATTAAGATTCATTTATAAAATCTTAATTAGTTTTAATTGCTGATAAACAGGCGGTGAGCTTTACAGCTATTATAACTCAAAAATAATTGATTTTTTGGAGCTACAATGTTGCTTGTTCTAATTATTAATGATCGACTTAATGACCAGCATTCAATAACTAATTTATCCAACAATTTCGTAAAACAATGCTCCAAAAATTTCTCATAGAATTTTTTTCATTAATTTTTAAACCGAAAAGGGAAAAAAATATTTGAGGAAACTTTTGCTTCAGGTGAAAGTGGTTTTGTTGCTTAATAAAAATTATTATCAAACATTGAAAGAGGAGAGGAAGAACTTTTATTCAATGTTGGAAATTTCTCATATTTTTTAGTTCACATCGTTTCGTTCGTTGCTTAATGAAATGAGAAATTTATTATAATGAAAAAAATATATATTTAGAAGTATATTAATTTAAAATTGATGAAAAATGTGGCGCTTTTCCATCAACTTTTTCCTTTCCTTTCCCATCAATTAATAATTAACTCGCTCACATAATGAAAATGAGCTCTATGCAAAGTCAAAAAATGTGAGCATGAAAAAAACTTTTCGTGCTTCGTGCGCTTTGAAAATTTAATAAGATTTAATCATGCGGTAATCATTCAACTCAATAAAATGTGATTTTTTTTGACTCCCGGGCTTTTTCAACCACCCTTTTTATACAGCTCTCAGCTCAGAAAACAAAAAATACAAAAGAAGAATTTTTTTTTGTCGTCATGGAATGAGGGAGAGCTTTTGAATAATTAAAACTCTCTAAATTAGTTTTAATGAATTTTCTGAGGCTTTTCGTTAATTAAATGTTGAATGAATTCGGTTGCTTGAATTCTCTGTTGCTTATTACAGAAAGAAAATAGCTCATATTTATTGGAATTTATGAAACTCATCCGACTTATGAAGATTTCTCCTCTGTCATGATCTTATGTCTATAAACCTTAATAGTAAAATCAAACTTGGTGCGCGATAGAAAAGATTTGAATGATAGAGACATGAATGCCCTAAAAACTACCGAAACTGAAAATATAATCTTTAAGTTACCTTAATGCATTTGCAATTATGTCATTGTGGAACCAAATTTACATTATTGTTCATTAACAAATGAACTCCTGTTACTTACATTTTTCTTTTAAAATGAAATTGAAATTATATCGCATGTTAAGATGAGTGTATATTCCATTCAAGTCACAGATGTGTTAATGAGTAAGCTCCACTGCATAAAAACAAGAACAACAAGAAAAGTTGCATTTTAATGACAAATGAATGAATGGAAATGATGATGAGAATGTTCAGTGTCAATTACGTTAAAAGGGGTAATTTTTCATCTTTTCAGTCATTTTCATTTTAAAACGACAAAAAGGAGAGGAAAAATTTGCATTGGAACTAATGAGTAATTATACTAATGCACATCCTGACAACTCACTTTTTTCATACATCCATAGACATTTGTTGTTGCAATTCCGAATAATATTCATGAATAATAAGTTGAGAGGAAATAGAAAATGAATGAGAAAATAAATGGGAGAGATGAATGGGATGAATGCAGGTAAAGTTTTTTCATTCATTACTCAATGGAGCACTTTTAGCATTATTACGATGATGATGATGAAAACAGTCGTCGACATTAACCCTATAAAAGTGATATGAATCACATGCATATGAGATTTATATGATTAATTGAAATGAATTTTTTTATATTTTTACTTTAGAATATTCTGAATAGGTAATCAACATCTAGAAAATATTGTCAGTTCTTTACAATACAGTCAATTAACACTCTCATTTATCAATATAAACTTTGCAAATTGAGTTATATTATAGCGAATCAAATCAGATGCATCCATAAAGTCATAACCATGGGAAATTTATTATCCAATTTTAAAACATATATTTTTTTTTGTAATGCATGATAAAGGATAATGAAGCTTCTTTACATTCATTTTTTCACATCTCGATAGATAATAATGAAAATTAATAACACTCTATGCATCATCATGTGAGTGCTAAATTTTTTTATTCGTCTCAACAAATGCTTCTTCCATCGTCTATGTATACACACGCTCATTTTTCTCAACTTAACGTGCATGAAAGCGTAGCAATAATTATAAACAGCTTTTCATCTTGCTTCATTCATTTATTCGTTTATTCACTTCAATTTTCCATTGTGTTGTATTATATAAAACATCGAGCTAAGGATGCGACATAATAATCGCAAAATGATGACGATGTTGATAATAATCATGAATGTGTCAAAATAGGTGTAAAATATTTTTGCTTCATTTGTGTTTTTTTTTTCTCGAAACAATTCTAAAGAAACGTGATGGGTTCGAAAATAATGTTTTTAAAAATAAACCTAAGTTCATTGTTGAGGCAGAAGGTGTTTACAGCTTAATTTTTGGTGCATTTTGTGAATAATGAATGATAATATGGTGTATGTAGAGAATTATATCAATAGATGCTATTTTAAGAGTATGAATAATAGCTTTGTTAAAAAATCAACTTACATAAAAAATAAAATTTAATCTGAAAATTAAGAATCTAATACAAAAAAAAAACAAAACAAAGTAGTAATTTAGATTTTCATTTTTTATTTTTTTATCATTTTTGTTTTTTGTTTTTTGAAATTTTTCAATAAATTTACAAATTTCATTTCTTTTTTGACATAATATTCATTCTGTGAATTTTTTTTCTCAAAATTTTTATCATTTCTTTTGAAGTTTTGGACTTTTTTTATATACATTCAGTTTTTATAATTTTTGTTTCACATATTTTAACACAAATGACTTGAAGAGATGAAAATTTTCCTTAACATTTTATATGTAAGTGTCTGTGTAATTTTTGTATTTGAAAGAATGATTTTTTTTTTCATGACTTTCAATAAATTAATGTTGTGTCTTCATGTTTAAGTTTTTCTACAGCGTTTTCTTTTGTTTTGAGTCAACGAAATGGTTTAATTTTTATTTCAAAATTTTGAATGAAATTTTAAAAAAGAAAATTCAAGAACACGTTTCTTTCGAGAATTTTCCAATTTGAAATTTTTCATCTTTCCAGAAGATTTTTAAGCATTTTGCTGTCTACATTTAAAGAACTTTTGTACATAATCTTATCATTCTAAGATTTAAGTAGTTTTATCTTCACTGGACTTAATTTACTTAACATTCTAATTTTTAAGGATCCTAATTAGCTAATGTAGATAGAAGAATCTACTTCACAGTTTCATCTTCATATTTTTTAATTTAAAATTCTTTGATATTTCTTTTCACTTTAAATTAATTTTAAAACGTATGAGAAACAACATTTTTACAGCATTTTCATTTATCATTAATTAAGTTTCTTAAATTTTTTATTTCGAAAAATTTACATAATTTTTCAATAACAAAAAAGAGAGGCGAAAAAAGTGTCAACTAAATTAAGCATTCTCATCCTACCGGCAAAAAGGTACGGACGGTATGAGAACACATAAAAAATAAAGAAGAAAACAAATCAATTACAATCACGTTTAATTTTCACTTTAAATTCAACATTTTGTATATCAGGAAGATGATTCTGTTCTCATTTCACTGCGTCATCCTGATATGTTATTTTTTTTATTGTTCAACTACAATATCAATAACTTAATTACAACTCAATAATAAAAATCTTAATTGACAACATGATTTATGAATGGTTGCCAATGCTATCATTTGATTTTGTAGAAGAAAGCTTTTCATTTAATATTATTTGCCTGATTTGTGTACTTTTGGAGTTCCATAGGAAGCGAGAGACATGTTTGTCGATTGCTTCATTCAAATCTTAATTTCCAAAGACGTTTTATGAAGAGCGTACTTTTTTTTTTGGAATTTAATTTCTTGAGTGTGCCTTAAAATAATAATTTTAAATAAACTCATCTTGAACCAACCTTATCAAAAATATTGCAAGTTATGGTAGGAAGTTGTTCTGTTTAAGAACTTTTAGTCACAATTTTTAAAAATATTTTTGATATGGCTGGATCAAGGGAGTTATTTTGTGTAAGGCGTGCACCCAAAAGAAAATTTCCAGTTTTTTAAAAATTTACTTTTGACAACTACAATTATTAGGGAGATAGTTAAGGTAAGTAGATAGAGAGATCGTAAATGTTTCACATGTCACAAAAAGATCCAGCTATAATCTTTGTTTTTGTTTCTTCTTACAATTGCGTAAATCCATCGTTACTATCATCGTTATGTAATGTCGAATTTTTACGTTCATCATCATTATCAATATGATTATTACTATCCTTATTGTGATTACTGCTATTACTATTATTATTACTATTTCTAAATTCATTTGGTTCAGTTTTGTTTGATGCTGTTGCAATTGTAGTTGAGCTACGTGAACATAAATTCTGCTGTTGTTCATTTGACATTTTTGTAAAGTCATTTGCATGCTGTCCAACGCCAATATTTCCGCCATTTTCCAATTTTATTACAATACCGCTATTATTATTGTTGCTGTTACTATTATTATTGATTTCATTGAGCTTTGTGAATGGTTGATTATGATGATGAAGACTATGTTGTTGGTGATGATGATGATGATTGTTGGCACCGAATAATGATTCATGGGAGAATTGATTCATGAAGCCACCACCACTGCCAACATTACCACCAGATGAGAATAAAGAAGTTGCCGTCGTTGTTATTGTAGATGATTGCTTTTTGTAGCCAACAATGCCACTGCCATTACTACTGCCTGTTATTGGATTACTTCCAAAATTATCATCAAGCGGCTCTGATTTCGTATTTGTGGTCGTTGCTGTATTCGAAAAATGATCATAGCATGGTTTAAGTAGACCATCGTGGTGATTTCGACTCATACCATTCGCAATATGCTGTTGTTGCTGCTTATTATCGTAAGGAAATGATGACGCAAAATTTGTGGGACTTGTAAATTTCCCATTAAATATTCCTCCAACAGTACCACCATTGCTGCCATTTGTGTACGGATGAAATTGTTTCGATGCATTTATGTCGCTATTGGGTGCCGTTATGTTGCTTCCATTTCCATTACTAGAACATTGGAATTCATCCAAATTCATCAATTTTCGCATCAGACTCATGTCTTTGTCATATAAATTACTATACAATCCCTCATTTTGTGGCGATCTCGCCATTATTGATTGTGGATGGAGACGTGGAACGAGCATATTTCGTGATGGATCATCATCTAATAAAACGGATGGTAAAATTGGATGTGGCGGTTGAGATTGTTGTGTGTGAGCATGTTGATCATCGTCAAGCTTTTTGATTTTCGGTGGACGACCGAGGCGCGGTCCATCTCAGTCACGCGAACGACGCGGTCTTCCTACTGTGAGAGAATTTTAAAAAAAAATAATTAAAAATGTTCATTATTGTTGATGCTGAAATTAATTTGATATTTGAATGAAACTACTTAATTAAATTTCATTACCTTTTCCCTTTCGTAAAGGTGGAGTTGGATTAGGTGTCGCTGTCTTTACCAATTTATGCCAATCTTGTTCGCACACTAGACTACCTGCTAACATATAGTATCTATTGAGATACCCAATAAAGATTAATTAATTTCTAATATTTCAACATCTTTTAAAGGATATTTGACAGGTGATTGCTCAGCTGAATAATTTTAATTGAAGGATTCTTAAGTAGCTTTTTGAACTTACCTATCACCTTGAACTAAATGTGAGCCACATTTTGAGCATGAAAAGCATTTCAGATGAAACACAAAGTTCTGAACATTTTGATTATTCGGCTGGGGATTATTATTATTAATATTTGTTGTCGTTCTCATCACAAACTCATTTGCTGGTATGTTTTGTCCGCACGCTGAACAAGCTCCTGAATTTCCAAAAAGTCTGTAAAATACAATAATTTGCAAAATTTTATATTAGAATATTTGCTTGTTTAATTAGTGCAAAAATAATATTTTTGAATTCATCCCTCACACCCTTGAATGCCTTATAACCATCCCTAATATACATATTTTTTACAGACTCATTAACTCATTTGTTGACAAACTAATAATGTAAAGTGCTCATAATCATCGCTTGTTATGAAAGTTGCTGATTAATCATAAAGGAATTTTTTATGACTGGATATAACAAGAAAAACAGCAACAGCAACTTGAACGTGAAAGCGCATTAAATAATGAAAAATTAAAACAACTCAAATTACATAATTAACACACAAAATGAGATTGGCTGGCATTCAACTGGTCTGTCAGCTCAAAGGAAAGAAAGGAGGAGAAAAACGCGCGTTAATTAATTAAATTGAGTATGAGTGAAGTGAAGTGCGAAGGGTTTGGTTCCATTTTGCTGTGTATGTGATGGCTTTGTTATCCCTTTCAATGATTTCTCATTATCTTTAATGACAAAATGTCTCGCACACAAAAACATATTTCGCAGTTCCATTATTTCATTTGAGTAGTTTTGGACAACAGTGTTTTGAAATGTAGCATGACGCTGGTCATTTTAGGAGAAATTTGGACATGATAAATGCGCTTAATTCACATAATGAAACGAAGTCTTAGACTTTCTTTCATATTAATGTCCATTCTTCTTTACACTTGCGTACGGGTTCCATAAAAATCATCACTATGGATTAACATTGCATAAAAATAGTTAAGGATGTTTATGATGAATAAAAATTGTATCTAAAAGATTACATCCAATTAGACAAATGAAAGTGAACATAGAAATAATTGTAATTTCTTATTTTTTCCCTTCGTTTCGTCTCCCCTTCCATTTCCTCATACCAATATTACTCGCAATATGTTTCTATACAAATGTCTGTTGAAGAAAAGAAGACATGGATAGAAAAGGAAGAAAGCATCTGGCTATTGATGATGATTTCTCTCTCTTTCCACTCTCTCAATTCTCATTTATTTATACATATACATTCGACCATCCAAACTATTACAACCATAAAGCTTAGGATCTATATGGAGTGGAGAGAGGGTATTCATTTAGCAAATTAAAAAAGTCTATTAGAAGCAATGACGATAATGATAATGATAGCGATAAGTAAATTAAAATTCATTTAATCAGGAAAAACGACTTTTTCTTCTTTCTTTTCTGCTTCTCCATCGTTTTTATGTCTTTCCTAATGTTTGTCTTTCTCCTGATATCTGCTTTCTAGTTGATACTTTTAGATTATGTGAGAATATCTTCTTTTTTTTCCTTTTTGCTTTTAGATTTTTGATTCGAGATGAGTTTTGCTTTTTTATTTTGAATATTTATAAAATGATTTTTATGAGCTAGTTCCAAATTTCTATTTTGCATTTTTGATTATTCCTGAGTTCCTTTTAGTTTTATTAGTGGAATATCCAAAAATAATTTGAATAATTTTGGAGAATTTTTTAAAAATTGAGTATTTACTTTTAAACATCATAGGGGCTGTTCACTTATTACGTAAAGCGAAAAAATGACTTCTTAGACCCCCCCCCCCTCGTAACAAAATTTGTATGAAAAAAAAATTTCCTTGTTTGAACCGTAACAAAATCTTAGACCCCCCCCCCTCCCCCTAAAAGCGCAAATAACCTCTTAGACTTGAAAATGTTGTCAACTTTTTTGAAAGAATCTTTGAGCACATATTGATAGAAATAAAATACAATTACCTAATAGAGTATAAATAATATCAGTTCTCATGATTGTTTTCATAATTCGAATCAAAATTTGCACAATATCAATAACAGTACAGAAATGACATCAAAACAGCTTCAATGACTAATCACGATAATAGTAATTCTAAGAAAGAAGAACTTTTCCAGCATGTATACACATAACAGAAGAAATGAAAGAGAGAAAAAAACAGCAAAAATCGAAGGGGTGGCAAAATTGAATTAATCTTTTAAATGGATTATATGGAATGTCAGTGGCGGAATTGTAAATGATTGTCAGTGAGGCGAGAAAGAAGAAAGGAGACATACATGTGTGTATGTTAACCACATCCACATACTCATACACACACACACACAAATGTGAATATATTTGATTAAATTATAATAGTCAACCCAATTTCGGAATGATTCAAAATGATTTATATTTATATCCATTTTCTAGATTAAAAATCAAATGATAAATATCATCATTAATTAAATTTACGGTGGGCGAGGTTTTTGGGTTAAAATTGATGGCTTTTGTGGTTCTTGTTTTTGATGATGATTCTTTTTCTGCTTTCATATAGGTACTCGTTCAGTTTTTATTTTGCATAGGGGATCTAGAAACTGATAGTATTGAAATTACGTCATTTACTTCATATCCTGAGTCTTATCAGTAATCTTTACAAAATTGGGTCTTTCACTTTATGGCTCATAAGTAGTTTCTTTTAAAAATGCGAATATAGATAAAACTATAGATATATCGCACAATTCAAATTATAATTAGAGGAAGTAGAAAGAATAGCGAAGGTGCGTAGCGGCACATCATACTGCTCCATTAAATATTTCATATTCATTAATTGCTCCTCACTCTTAGCTTCTTTAAGGTGTAGATTATTAAAAATTGCCTTTCATGCTATTGGGCGTGTGTATAAGTGCGTGCATATACATGATATAAGTCACGCAATAAATTTTTTTAGTATGCCATTTGACTTTATTACTCATTCTCTTGATTTTTGATTCTAAATTACTTGTATGTGCTTGACTTGATGGAAATTAATCTCTATTCATTTTTCATTTCTTTTTAATGCTCCTTATATGAATATACATTAATGTACGAGAGGGTTGATTGAAAATAATTAGGAGAAAATTTCTTTGTGCTTAACATAATTTCGCATTCTTTTGTAATTTTTTCTTTATTATTTTTAAGGCCTTTAAGAAATAAAATGAAATTGTGCTTCGACTTGCCAGCTTGTGTAATAAAAAGAAAAATTTACGTCAATTATAAAGCAAATAACGACTTTTCTTGCTTTTTTGTTTTTCAATTTCCTTTTTCATGTAAAACTCATTTCCATACATCAAACTATTTGAGAACTTTTCACTTCAAAATTTTGTTTTGAAACTTTTTCCAATTTTTCATTCACTTTTACGTCTAATTTTCATCTAAGCAATAAAAAAATGGCAAAAGGAGGAACGAGAGAATTTTCCTCTCATCGGTAATTGCTATGTGGCGTATATTAGCAGTAGTTGTTGAATAAGAATCGACTCAAACCTCAAAGTCATTATTTTTGAACGCATCACGGCGAAAAAAGCAATTTCCTAATAGCGTTTTTAGATTATGAATACTCACGAATGAGAATGAGACGAAAGGAGCAGAAGAAGAAGGAGAAAATCACACACATATTCATTCATTTTGAAGCTTTTCCATTCATTCTCATTCATGACGAAAGGACGTCGACAACGATGATGAAAATTGCCGCGTGGTTTATTTTTGAGGAGAATAGCAGCACCTTTAATGTAATCAATAATTCACGTCAAATTCTATCACAAACGGAAATTGAAAAAGCCTGAGTCAGTTAATTAAAATGGAAATGATTAACGATGAGGGCGGTTGAAACGTCTTTTTTCATATTTCAATGTGTCACAAAATTATCATTATGAGCTCCAAGAAATTAGTTGATTTGATCTATTTACTAATGCTGTCTTACATACTCTTACTTTTCAGTTTCAAAATCAATATAATATCAGCATAAACTATACATATTCATAGAAGGAAAAAATGTATAAAAAAAATTGAATGCCATCAACGATAGTGACATGCAATATGGTAAGCGTGCGAGAAAAAAGGCATGAGAAATTATGAAAATTGAATTTTCATGAGGATAGACAGCTCTAGTGTGAAAATAATTTAATTTTAATAATAAAATGCAACCACACATGTATTTTGGTGTGTGTACGCAAAATATTTATCTTTAATCATTCACAATTGATCATTATGATGGAGATGTGACAGCTTCTAGAAGGGATGTATTGAATGGAAATTATCTGCACTGCAAAATTGATAAGACCATAAACCATGCAATATCCTCCAACACCTTACAAATAAACAGTAAATAACCTCTTAATTCCCTCTCAATTACCTCCATTCACAATCTTTGTATCGATGCACATAGACTTCTTCTATTCTACTTTATAAATAAATTTCACAATGAAATAAATGTTCATTGAGATTCTGACGATATAAATTTTCTCTTGATAATCAAATCACACCATACATACCACATGCACACTCATATACACACAAATACTTGAAACTGTTAGAACTATCCAGCAAATAGATGAATTGTGCCATCTCTCACACTATATGTTGAGGCTACTGCAACACAATATAAAGTGTTTTTATCAGCACAGTGGATAAAAAAAAGTTCGTAGAGAAAAGTGAGCGTCAAAGTCGATTCACGAATTGAATTAAAAATAATTGTCTGATGAAGCATTTGCCAGTCGACTCGACTCATAGAGTTGAGATTTTGAGCATCAGGAAAATTTAAACTAATAAATAAGAGCTATGCATCATCACGACGAGATTAGGGGATGTGTATGTATGTGCATGTGAAGTCAGAGAATGAAGCAGGACAATTGAAATGAATGAGTTTATTGAGTAAAATTGGAAAAAAAAGATTTCTCTTCATACATAGTACAGGATGTGGGATATAGGTAGGTGTATGGAGTAATTTCAATTACGCTCATATTCTACCATTCATGTTAAGCAATCCTAAATGTTAGAAGGATAAAATTTATTTGACCCATAAATTCATGCAGAAATAAACAATAAAGTACGCGAAGCAAGATATATTCACAATTACGTGTCTATGTACGTGTTTGAATGTCTATTCTAAATCGTTACGCGACAATGGCAATGGCTCCTTTTTTAATTGAAATTGCATGGAAGAGTAATAAGAGCAACCACTAAAGCCAACAATGAGTATTTTCATCCCAATTTATCGATTCCGCACTGTGTCGTTTTCATCGTCCTCTATTCATTTATCTCTCACTCTATCTTTCGCAACATTCCATCATACGGTATGAATGATGATGGCAGCGACAACAAAAAAAAAGTTCTAGCTTTTTGGGGTTTTCTAAATGGCAACGGCGGCAAATTTGTGAGGGTGTGACTGACTCGAAAATGGCAACATTTAGTTTGAAATCAATTTCTTTTTTGAATGTATTGAATTTTTTTTATTAAACAATTTTGTATGCGTATACTAAGAGAAAAATATATTTTCAATCGACTCTCCTCCTCATTTATATAGTCATCGATAAAATGACGAAGTGAAATTTAGTTTGGAAGAAATTTTTGCGTAGCACGAAGCGATATATAAAGTGTCATTAGATGAAAAATTGAAATGAAATTGCGATAAAAAAATTTTCAACTGATCGCGGAAAATTTGGGCAATTTAGAAAAAAAATGAGAAATCAAATATACAAGTTTTTATTGAATGGGAAGCAAGACGAGGGAAAGAAAGGCGGAATTAAGTACGTGAAGTACGAGAAATATACAATTGCGGTAGATTTTTTTTTTCCTTCCTTCGTCTTCAAAATACAAGCTTAATTTAAGGTACTGTTGACGTTTGCTGTCTTTTTCAAGCTTCGTTTTTTTTTTTGATAAATTGTCATGAGTTTATGAGCTCGTAAGCACTCTTTACTAATGGATATGGAGAAAATTTTGTTTTTATGTGGATTTAACAGGATTTAGTCATTTTTGCTTAAAAAATAAAAGTTAAAGAAAGTTTTAATTAAGTCAACTTGAACTGTCATTTAATTGCCTTCATCGATTCAACATTCACTAATTAACACCTCACATTACACGAAGTGATTTTTTCTCACTCCACAATAAAAATTTCTTCCATTCCGTTTCTTTCTTCTTCATTCTTTACGTGTTGTATTGTTGTAAATTTTTATCAAACAATATCAACATCATTAAGTATCCAACATAAGCGTAACATAAGCATTAACATGCATTAACCTTCAATTGTGAGTGCAAACATTATTCATCATCATTTTCTCGTTAATGTTTGCAATACAATAGTATAAGCATTAAGTGTTTGCACTTCACTAATGATGACGACGATTGTAATTGATATTTCTTTGAGCAAATAATACAAAGGCATAAAAAATTTATTCTTTTTAAGAGCACGTCGTTGCGGTTCCAAAACGACAAGAAAGAATAAAGAAGTTTTTTTTGGAGTGAGGATAGAAATGAAATTTGTTGAATGAATTTAAAAAAATGATGTAAAATTCACGAGAAATAAAAAAATAAAAAATGAAAGGAATGTGAAATTCAATACGATTTTTTGGATTCTCATTCTCATCATTCACAATGTAAAGTGCGGTTGAAGTGGTCGAATAAAAAAAAATGGAATTAGACATAAGACATTTTAAGGTAGAGAAACCTCATAAAAATACATTTCTATGCTGCCGTTTAATTGAAATTCAATACTTTTTAACAAAATAATATATTCTAGACATTTTAAACAAATTTGTGAAATAAAGCATGAATTTCAAACCACGAAAGAATACACCACACAACGTGTAATCGCTGTAGAGCTCACAAACGATATAATCACTTACCTAGAGTAATCAGCCTTGCATAAAATCATTCCGCTACGCGTAAAACAGCTAGTGCCTATATCGCCAAGCATTGCCCCACAACAGGAACATTTTAGACATGAATTATGCCAGTATCTGTCTAATGCGTGCAGGAAAAATCTTTCCATTATTTTACCTGCATCATGACATTCGCAAAATTGTGTCGAGTTTATTTTACAGATGGTGTGGAAAAGAAATTGAGCATGAAAATAGAGGAAAAAAGTATAAATTTTATGCATCAAATATAAAAATGGCTGTAAAATACTCACCACCACATCCAGCACAATGTTTCATTGCACCACCATTATTGTTCATATGATGAAAGCCTTGATGATGACCATCCATTTGACTTAATGTACTATGACCATTATGATGACTTAGTGGTGGATAATTATCCGACCCAGGGGAATGTGGTGAATTTAAATCCGCATACGGATTATAATGTGGATTCATTGCTACCGCTGCCAGCTTGATGCCTTTTATAACTACACGTCTTTAATAATTGTTAAATAATCGAAATTTAATTTTGTGTCTAGGAAATTGACTCCTTGTCAATTCTAAATCAAATGTCTTATGGTCGGTTGAATTTTACTTTTGCATAGATCAACGTTCGTTTCTTCTATGTAATTATTTCAATCTAAAGTTCCCTTGTTTATCTTGATGCTCATTAAATGAACATCTTATTAATCATCATCTATACAATTCTTCTATGTCTGCTGCTATATTGTCATTCGCTTGGGGCTTTTCCCCCTTCAATTTGACTTTGCTTGTGTTCTCGTCTCTACTTTGCAAATAAAAGTCTATTTAAGACTCTTTTATGCCTTTTTCTTTTGTTTTTGTCGGTCTGTACGCGAAATGGCAATTAAAATATCTTGAAACAAAAATCAACGTTCCAGTCCAATTTTTTTATATTCTTTTCTTCTCCTTTTTTTCAATTCTTTTATACTTTTTCGGGTCTCTCGTTTGTGTATGATTTCAAACAGCAGAATAAAATGAAATAAAAATTGAGATCGAATGGTATGCGATAATGGTTAATTAAATCTTTCTGACATTTTTCCCCTTTTTCTTCTCTTCTCTTCTCTCGGGTTTTTTTTTCTTTAATTCAAAAATCAATTTATGTTATGTTATGTTGAAAATATACAGCAAGAAGTATAATTTAATTAGTCTTGCTATGAGATTTCCACTTCTTATTTTGATTTCCTCCTCTCAGATAAATGTCATGCGAGACGCAATTGTTGTTGAGGTAAGTAAAAATATATTTTCGTGCATGCGAGATTTAAAAATTGATTTTTCTGTTTTCGTTTGTTGGTTCTCAGGTTATAATGACCACATATATCTGTAATTAAATGAGAAAAAAATACGAAATTAATGAATGTAGCTGTCAATTAAGGTATATAAATATATTTTTGGCTAGCAAAGTTGTCTAATTAGATTTTATAGATTTTTACATAGTTTTAGTAGTTTAATTAATTAATAATTTCTTATATACGATTTCCATCAATGTTATGAAATCTGTATTGCATGTTTCATGCCCACACCGCGTCGAGACTTGAAATCATTAATTTTACACGACACGTGCTCCAGTTTTTTACTTGATTTATCAAAGATAATCAGCACTGTAGGCTTTGATCAGTTATAAAAAAAATGTTTTGATTCAATCGTTCATAAATGACGTCCTTTAAAAGCACAGATTATTAGACCACCTAGCTGCTTCTTGTGTACTTCAAACTTAAAAGAATTAATAGAAACCAAAATTTCTAGCAATTACTAAACCAGTTCACAAATTCATAAATTTTAAATCGTTCAATGGCTCTTAATGTTTATACAAAATGAGTTACATCATGTCCAGCAACAATGTTGCAAGTTTTATGAACAACAATTGCTCCCAATTAATTTTAATCCAGTCTTGGTGCATCCTGTTTTCCTTTTTGCTCCCTAGACACAGCTTTTATATTAAAAAAGCATAAATACAACAAAAATCATTCGTCATTCATCAATTATATGAATACACATCTCTTTCGTTTATTCTTTTTACACAATGTCTATACATAAAGGAAGCCTTTCTACCAACGCTTAATACCAGTTATCATGAAAAGAGAGCCAATTAGTGATTTATTTATTACACACATTTGCCTTTATTTCTCGCTCTCTTTACTTCTCTCCTTTTCATACGATATCATGTTGTCGTTTACTTACGATCTGCAGATAGTATTTTTGATGTTGTTATGCAAAATTTTTCATGCCTTAATTTTTAATTGGGTATATTAGTCATTGAACTGTAAATTTATAGAATTCTCGTTATTGTTCTATGATATTTGCTGTAACAGTCCTGAAATATATTTTTATGCATACCAAACTGTAAAGAAGTTAAGGCTTGCACGAGTGTATTAACGAGGTTAATTAAAATTATGTAAAAATTCGAGAAAATTTAACGGAACCTCTAATGTACGGTGGTAAATCATGACAACTTCAAAAATCATATTTCATTCCGATTGTCTTTAGCATACAATTTATCCATTCTCATCAGTTCTCTTCTCTTCACACTTTTCTCGTTTTATTTTGCTTCTCTTTCGATTGAACCAGCCTGGCTGACTTACATTTTTGCCTGATTCAATGTATGTATACACTTTAATTAAATTAATTAAAGCTTTTTGGTTGTAAAATTACATGGAATTGGTGAATGTGCTTGTTTTCGGGTTGTGGATCTCATTTTGTTAATTAAGGAGTCTGTTTGTGATTGAATGTCGGATAGATGGATGGATGGTAAAGATGTTTTATACATATGTGTAATATGATTGCATATGTTGGGTGGTTGGTTGGATAGTTCTTTACACATACATATAAGTTTACACAATTTTTATTACCCTTCGTCTGCCTGTCGCTCTGTGTTACTGTTTCTTTTTCTCCCCTTCAATCACGTTGATGCTGGATGATGATTAAACTTTATTTACAACATTCTCTTTGTACTTTTACTAATTAGTTTTTCTTCTTCTTTTTTTAATTAATTAAACAATTTATTAATTATCTTTGTTAATTTTTTAAAAACTTTTTGAATGGTGAATGAAAGGCGACTGTTTTTCGGATGAAAATAAATTAATGATTAAAATTATTTACCGAAAGAGAGAGAGAAAAGTTTTCATTATCATTAGTTTATGAGATGATAAAAATAATTCTTATGAGGACTGACGTTAATTATACCTAATTAGTAAATTAATGAAAAGCAAATAATCAATTGACATGTGCTTTGGTAAAGTCAATATTGTCCTTTCGTTTTTTTCTCTCTCGCTTTAATCATGGGAATGTGAAATGAGAGACAGCACACGTATGTGTTTATGAGGAACAAGACTGAACTTGTGTGTTACCGTCGTAAGGCTCTGATCAATTTTTATGCTCAAATGAATTTCAAATTAAAAGCCATCAAAAAATTTACAAGTTTTCTTAAAAACTTCAAATATTTGACCAAGAAGTTGTTTTAAAAATTTGTGGAAAATAAATTTCCGGATCATACAAACAAGTTGAAGACTCCATCATATAGAGTTATCATATCCACACAGTAGAATTTTTCTCAACGCAAATATTGAAAATGCTATAAAAACAATCATGAAAAGTTTCCTTTTCGCGTCAGGAAGGAAATTAAACTTTTTGATCTTTTTCACTTTTTCCTCATTTAAGAAGAACAAAAGAATTCCGTGTGTCAGGAGTAGACAGATCCTTAAAGTTAAGAGTGCACTGTTTAAAATTTTGATTTTTTTTTCTGTTTTTCTACAAAAGTTTGTTCACCGCTGCATGCATTCTTCTCGTAGATTGTGATGTTAAAAAAATTGTAGAGTGCAAAATTAACTCACATTAAATTCGCATTAATAAACTTTAAAAAAACGCCTTTAAGAATTTTTATGTTGTTACTTTTTGTGGAAGAATCGACAGCAAGAAATAGAAATTAAAAAGAGATTTGAGTGAAGGAGAGAGCTTAATTTGCTTCTCTGGTAAAGGTTTTATGATCTACCAAAAATTACACGAAAATTGGTCATCAAAAACTCATTAAACAAGGAACTTCAATTGTTAACATTAATTCAGTAAATTGGGATTCTTTTACTTTTTCCTCACGGTGCTCCTACATAAATATAAATCAGTTTAAAATTTTTTCTAGATTAAGACTTCAGCAAATATCATGACGAATTGATACCAAAACAGAAATTCTTTTCTCTCTTCATGCTTATTCCATATGAAAAGTGAATAAAGACTTGGAGGTAAAGTGAGTAAGAAGAAAAGAGCGGAAACCTAACAGGTGTCGACAATCTCACAATAATTTCTCCTCTTATACTTGTGTTCGTTTAAAAAAGGATTTTAAAGGAAGGAAGCACTTGGCTGTGCTATTATTAAGATATATTTATCACATTGATGATAATGACAATTATAACAATAAGTTGAGAGATGAATGTGATGAATGAGGAGAAGAATTAAAAAGAACAATTGCTGGAAATGGTTTCATAATTAGACCAATACCAAGTTTTCCAAAATTTAAGCCATTTTTAAAATCTTTTAAATTGCCAACTCTTCATAAATTTGCTAGATTAATCAAATACTTTTTAAGAAGGTACAAACTTCCCAAATACCGAAAGTAATTTCCATAAGGCAAACATCACTGCACGTCCATCATGCGTATAAAAGAAGATTGAATCACATGATTCTTCGTAGAAATGACTCAATTTAATTTCCAAATGAGATTTTTCTCTCACTTCATTTGGTAATGGAATGCAATGTGATTGAATGCTCACACCAGTGAACTTCATTATCAAATTGAAATGGAATGGAACTAAAAAAATAGTTTTATGGTTTTATTGGGTTTTGCACGAAAATTGTATTGCATTTAAACTAAACAAATTTATTGATTTCAAATAATAAATATTTTTCTCTTTAATTATCTTTCATTAAAATCTTTAAATATCCATCAATCATAAGGAAATTTGCTTAGCCTTCTTTCGTGCTATTTATTTTTGCTCATAAATTTTAAAATCTTCATTAATATTTTCATCGCTACCATTTGCCATCACATTATTTTCATTTCTTTCGTTTTTGCGAGCACATTCACATTATTCTACTTGCTATTCTTATGAGTGTCGGCGATGGAAACAAAGAAAAAATCTCATTAATTTTAAACCAAAAATTCATTTTTGAAAAAAAAATTAATAACGAAAAAATTCAGTTTCTTTATCACGAAAAGAAATAATAAAAAAAACAAGAAGAAAAGTCGTAATGTTGTATGTGCCATTATGTAACGATACATTAATTAGACATTAAACATTAATTAGCACACTAATGACTATGTTTCTTTTATTTTCCTTTTTATTCTATCTGAAGCTACACCTACCATTTTTAGCATAATTTTATCAAAATGAGAGGTGTTGAGTGTAGTGTTTTGTCTTAATGGAAATGCCTGCCATTAACTTTTACGCTTGAAGTGCTCACTTTTGTAGCAATTCATTAAAAAAGACATAAAAGTGTTGAAACATTTTATAGCAGTTTTATGGTACAAAAAAAATGCGTTTTCTATGAATCTTTGCCTGCAAATATTCAGCAAAACTTTTATAATTTTTATTTTCACTCATTCCCTACCTCAAAATCTTCAGTAATGAAATACCTCTCACACATATGTCTGCGATATAAAATTCATATTTAATTTAAATGTGTAAAAAATGAAGAAGAAAGAATTCCTTAATTAGATTCTCCACAATAATACAACTCAGAGCGTCGATTCCTCATTTTTTCTCTTACTCTCGTCTCAAAAACATTTTATTTTTTATTTTGTTTTTTCATAATCAAAGTTAATTATGTTGTATAAAGCTGGTGATTATGAATCACATGTGTGTATATGAAGACGCATAGATTGCAGCATAATTATTTTACAAACAAATGTGTTAAATTATTTTTGTGCCTTCCAGGAGTTCTTATTTATCTGAATAGAAATTTGTTTGCAGCCAAGGTATGGCTATAAGCTATCTTCATCAAAGGACTTATTATAAGCAAAATATACTCAACTACTTAAAACAGTTTCATAGTTGCGGATCTTAATTGAATTTTTTATTTAATTGAAATTTCGTTCCTCAACTTCTTAGCAATTAACTTTATCCAAGACTCATAAAAACATTAAGAAGTTAAAATAATTTAATTTACAGTCAAGTAATATCATCGAATAAAAAAAAATCCCCATGACCTTGACATGGAGAAAATTTAATAACAAAAAGCACCGGAAATAAATGTAATTTAAGTTCATACAACATAAATAAAAAGCCATTGCTATAATGTTACCGTATATGCATTGAAATAAATACAAGTTGT